CGAATAATGTGCTTGAACCGAAGTTCGAAGGGCCGATATTCGATTAACTGCAAATATGGTCCGGTGGACCGCACTCGATTCTCTCATTTATCTTCCCGCACGAGCGATTTCTCTACTGATGTTCAGGCATCTTATTTCGGCGATTTTTCTCTCTATTTTCCAAGACGGTTTCCAATATCTGCGGCTTGCCAAACGCGAATTCGCCCTTGTTTGGACTAAGGAGAAATTAACATACTCATATTCACAATCACACCCGGGGTTATTTATGGTGAAGCTCACCATAGCAACCAGATACCTAATCGAACTGGATGTCTCTTTTAAACTGCCGTAGCGCAATCACCATTCCTAACACTTGGCGATTAGTGGAGCGTTCGTAATACAACTTTATGCATCTACTAACGGTTTAAGTTTTCAATCCATTTAGAACAGAATTCACTTAATACTTCTATTGTTGGTAGTCTTTTCCTGTTGGTAGATATCTGTTTCTTAGGATTTATTGAACCCGTGGGCTTGTCACCCTGCACCAGTTATATTCTCATGGTTTCAATGCATTAGATGAGGAAGACATTGATTGTCAAAATTCTCTCATTTATCTTCCCGCACGAGCGATTTCTCTACTGATGTTCAGGCATCTTATTTCGGCGATTTTTCTCTCTATTTTCCAAGACGGTTTCCAATATCTGCGGCTTGCCAAACGCGAATTCGCCCTTGTTTGGACTAAGGAGAAATTAACATACTCATATTCACAATCACACCCGGGGTTATTTATGGTGAAGCTCACCATAGCAACCAGATACCTAATCGAACTGGATGTCTCTTTTAAACTGCCGTAGCGCAATCACCATTCCTAACACTTGGCGATTAGTGGAGCGTTCGTAATACAACTTTATGCATCTACTAACGGTTTAAGTTTTCAAGGAGAAATTAACATACTCATATTCTTACTGGTAGCCGAAAGGATGTAAGAGCCACATTGAGGGCAAGTCCACATCAATTAAATATGTTGAAAATTTGGCGCATGGTTGCTGACACAAAGTATTGACTATTTGCGGAACCAATTCATGGGACCCGTCAAAACCTGTGACCCCGCTTTTCTCTCGTAGTCCCCTCAAGGGACATCGACTGATCGGTCTCACGTATGGCTTAGCATTTGTGCTCCTCAAGTGTTCACAGGTTGCTACTGTTGTATGGTTCCAGCAACTTACATCACATCGATTTTCAGCGGTGTAGTGGTATTAGGGGGTGGTGATGGGGTTTCATACGTCTACCGATAAGTGAATTCCCAGTTGCGCACCGGGCGAGACGCACCTTTCAAGTTCAGTCAAGCCCTCGGAACAACCCAGTCGCAGTCTGATTGACGCAGCGACTCAAACTGATCGTTGGCTGATGATAGACGAACAAAACGTGAGCACCTTGCTTAACTACTCCTGGCAATGAAGGTTCGATGTGCAGTCTGTCCGCTTAATGACCGTTTGTGTGTGTGTGTGTGTGCGTGTGTGTGCGCGTGCATGTTGGTTCACACCTACAAACTGTTCATCAATAGGCAAACGATTGATCACTAATGAGAAAAGAAAACGTCAAATCTGCAAGTCACTTCCTTCCGACATATACATGTCTGCACCTGTTTATCCAACTGTGTACAGTGCAGTCCATTGTATGGTCACGAACGGACCAGCCTATTCATTGACCGGGTAGCTTAATAATGAAAACAAGTCAACAGCTCAATGCTTTATGGACGTGCAAAATATCAATGCTCATTCTAGTTCGTAGAGAAAAAACTCTAATTTCTGTTAGCCAGGGAATGAGTTCAAATTTGCTTATGCTATTCAAGCGAAATATTCTTAGAACTTTCATTGCATCTATGTACCATTGTTAAATATCTTGTAGAGTGTGCCTTTCAATGCCAGAAATACATAGGCAATTGCATTTGGTTCAAAAGAATTGCTGTTATTCGAGGGAACCTCGACTTCAATGGAACTATTGCCTAGGTTACTGAGGGCCTAGACTGAACCCACTCATTCAATGATTGATTCCCACATTCATGCCTGAGTATGGTGACCGATTAATCGATCTCTTACGAAATGATTCACTTCCCACCCGACCGTCCGAGACCAATCATCGTTTGGTTCATTCCTTGTCACCTAAAGCTCATTCGATCAACATTCCCGGCAAACCTTACCTTACCGAAAATTCCAACCTCGCTTAGCAACTCACTCAAAAAAGTACTGTTGTTCGTGTACGGAGAAATCAGCTCATCTCAACTGGACGGGACTTGGATAGGCCCAACTCAATCGGTGGCGTGTGACGGCTGAAGTATCAATCACCTCATGGAATCATAGTACAATGCGATTGGTTGAATTCACTTGCAGTTACGATGAATTCACTTGAAATGGACAAATTATGGAAGCAAACACAACAACAGCGTGACACGAACTGCTCAGAGTTCCCAGCCTGTTGATTGTCTGTTAACGAATAGAACTCGGTTTCAACTAACTCTGATTACAGACCATGAGAAAGCCAAATACAGAAGTCAGTGCTGGGGCAAGCGTAGCCACAATATACATTGTAGGTCACAATAGTCAAGCATAAACTCATTGAATAACAAAATGCATACATTACAAATCACGCGAAACATGTACAATGTCACGGAGTTTATAATAATTTTTGCGCATATATGTATTACTCATATGTATATTCCAGTATATATATATATATGTA